TTTTTTTTTTTTTTTTTTTTTTTGCGGTACCCGGGCCTCTCACTGCTGCGGCCTGTCCCGCTGCGGAGCACAGGCTCCGGACGCGCAGGCCCAGTGGCCACGGCCCATGGGCCCAGCCGCTCCGCGGCATGCGGGATCCTCCCGGACCGGGGCACAAACCCGCGTCCCCCGCACAGGCAGGCAGACCCCCAACCGCTGCGCCAACCAGGGAAGCCCCATACCACATCTTTATACATTCATCTGTCCTTGATGGACACTTAGGTTGCTTCCATGTCTTAGTTATTGTACATAGTGCTGCTGTGAACATTGGGGTTCATGTATCTTTCTGCATTAGAGTTTTGTCTGAATATATGCCCAGGATAGGATTGCTGGATCATATAGTAACTCTATTTTTCATTTTTTAAGGAACCTGCATACTATTCTCCATAGTGGCTGCTCCAGTTTACATTCCCACCAGCAGTGTAGGAGGGTTCCTTTTTCTCCACACCCTCTCCAGCATTTATTGTTTGTAGACTTTGATGATGGGCATTTTGACTGGTGTGAGGTGATACCTCATTGTAGTTTTGGTTTGCATTTCTCTAAGAATTAGTGATATTGAGCATCTTTTCATGTGCCTGTTGGCCATCTGTATGTCTTCTTTGGAGAAATGTCTATTTAGGCCTTTTGCCCTTTTTTAAAAAAATTATTTTTTTATTCTGCCCATTTTTGGATTTTATTTTTTTAATTTAATTAATTTACTTTTGGCTACATTGGGTTTTTGTTGCTGCACAAGGGTTTTCTCTAGTTGCGGCGAGCGTGGGCTACTCTTGTGGTGCGTGGGCTTCTCATTGAGGTGGCTTCTCTTGTTGTGGAGCATGGGCTCTAGGCACATGGGCTTCAATAGTTGCAGCACGCTGGCTCAGTAGTTGCTGCACGCAGGCCCTCGAGCATGCGGGCTTCTGTAGTTGTTGTGTGTGGGCTCAGTAGTTGTGGTGTGCGGGCTCTAGGGCGTGCAGGCTCAGTAGTTGTGGTGCATGGGTTTAGTTGCTCTGTGCATGTGGGATCTTCCCAGGACCAGGGGACAAAGCCGTGTCCCCTGCATTGGCAGGCAGCTTTTAACCACTGAGCCACCAGGGAAGTCCCAATTGAGTTTTCTTTTTTTGATGTTAAGCTGTATGAACTGTTTGTGTACTTTGGAAATTAATCCATTGTTGGTAGCATTGTTTGCAAATAATTTCTTCCAGTCCATAGGTTGTCTTTTTTTGTTGTTTATGGTTTCCTTTTCTGTGCAAAAGCTTTTAAATTTAATTAGGTCCTTTTGTTTATTTTTGTTTTTATCTCCGTTACTCTAGGAGATGGATCCAAAAAAATATTGCTACAATTTATGTCGAAGAGTTTTCTGCCTGAGTTTTCTTCTAGGGGTTTTTATAGTATCTGGTCTTACATTTAGGTGCTTAATCCATTTTGAGTTTATTTTTGTATATGGTGTTAGAGAATGTTCTAATTTCTTTCTTTCCATGTAGCTGTCCAGTTTTCCCAGCATCACTTACTGAAGAGATTGTCTTTTCTCCATTGTATCTTCTTGCATCCTTTGTCATAGATTAATTGGCCATAAGTGCATGGGTTTATTTCTGGGCTTTCTATCCTGTTCCATTGATCTATATGTCTCTTTTTGTGCTGGTACCATACTGTTTAGATTTACTGTAGCTTTGTTTTATAGTCTGAAGTCAGAGAGCATGATTCCTCTAGCTCCATTCTTCTTTCTCAAAATTGTTTTGGCTATTTGGGATCTTTTGTGTTGCCATGCAAATTTAAAAATTTTTTGTTCTAATTCTGTGAAAAATGCCATTGGTAATTTGGTAGTGATTACACTGAATCCACAGATTGCTTTGGTTAGTAACGTCATTGTAAGAATATTGATTCTTCCAATCCAAGAACACAGTAAATCTTTACATCTGTTTGCATCATCTTCAGTTTCTTTCATTATTGTCTTATAATTTTTGGAGTACAGGTCTTTTGCCTCCTTAGGTAGCAAACTGTTTTTCAAAGTAGTTGAACCATTTTACATTCCCACCAGCAATGTATACAGGTTCCAGTTTCTCCACATTCTTGTCAATGCTTGTTATTTTCTGTCTTTGATTATAACCGTCCTAGTGGGTGTGGAGTGATGTATCGTGTTTTGGTTTGCATTTTCCTGATGGCTAATGATGTTGAGTGTCTTTTTATGTGCTTATTGGCCATTTGTATATCTTCTTTGGAAAAATGTCTGTTTAAGTCCTTGTTTTTTTATTGGGTTGTCCTTTTACTGTTGAATTGTAAGTGTTTTTTAATATATTCTGGACACCAGTTCCTTATCATATATATAATTTGCACATATTTTCTCACCTCCCATGGCTTGTCTTCACTTTCTTAGTAGTATCCTTTGAAAAATGTAAGTTTTTAATTTTGATGGATTCCAATTTATTTATTTATTTATTTTTCTTTGGTTGCATATACTTTTGGCATCATGTCTAAGAAAACGTTGCTTAATCCAAGATCACAAAGATATACTCCTAACTTTTTTCTGTTTTGTAGTTTTAGCTCTTACATTTAGGTTTTGATCCACTTTGAATTAATTTTTGTATGTGGTATGAGGTATGGGTGTAAATTCATTCTTTTGTATGTGGATATTCTGTTATTCCAGCACCATTTGTTGAAGTCTTTTCTTTTCCCATTGAATGGTCTTGATGAAAATGGATTGATCATAAATGTAAAGGCTTATTTCTGGGCTCTCAATTCTATTCTGTTGATCTATGTCTGTCCTCATGCCAGTACCACACTTGTCTTGAAGAATGTTGCTTGGTAGTGAGTTTTGAAATTGAGAAGTGTGAGTTCTCTGGCTCTCTTCTTAATTTTCAAGATTGTTTTGGCTATTCTGTATCTCTTGCATTTTCGTATGAATTTTAGGATTAGCTTATCAATTTCTACAGAAATGGTAGCTGGATTTGATAAAGGTTGCATTTAATCTGTAGATCAAATTGGGAAGTGTTAAGTGTCTTAACACATTGTTTCTAATCCATAAATACAGGATGTCTTTCTGTTTATCTTGTGTAATTTCTTTCATTGCTGTTTTGCATTTAAGGTTCTTTTTAATCTTGAACGCAGAGGTTGAATTTATTTCTTGCTGTGCCCTAAATCACAGTCTTCTTGTCATGAGAACTAATCTCATGAATGATAGAATCAGTGTTTCTATACCTGATAAAAAGTCCGGTGTACAGGCTTTTTTTAGGATATATGATGAGTCCTCAGGAAAGAAGACATTCTTAAGGGGCATCGATGACCCTTGTAACTATGGAGGCCTGCCCTGAGGGGAATCTGACTTCTGTGGAAATATTCTGAGTTTCTGAATTTCCCTGCTCTTTAAAGATCCCAAAGAGCTATGCAATTAATATGTTCCTTTAAGTTGTTCTCTTGACATGTTAAATTACTAGACTGAAATGGAAAATTTAATACAAATGTAAAGTAACCTCTCAGTTATTCAAGAAGTTTTAAAGCTGAATTTAAACTTTTCTGTGTCACTGTTTCAAATTAATTGGGAGGTGATGAGTTTGGAACTTACCAAAACTGAATTCCACAGATTTTTGTTTCATATATTTAGGTACTTTGTAGGTGATTATGATAGAGGAGATCATATTAGAGGTCTGATTCTTAACCCTCAGTATTCTGTCCAAAAAACCACTTTCCAGCTGGGTTTATATTAATACTTCCCTGTAAAGCATGTTCAGTTAAAACTGATCAAGATATTTGTAGATTTCACATTTTAATATATGTATATACATATATATATTAAAATATTTATTTGGTTGTGCTGTATCTTAGTTGCTGCTCACGGGTTCCTTAGCTGTGGCTCGCTGGCTCCTTAGTTGTGGCACACAGTCTCCTTTGTTGTGGCATGTGAACTGCTAGTTGCGACATGCACGTGGGATCTAGTTCCCTGACCAGGCATCAAACCTGGGCCCCTGGCTTTGGGAGCGTGGAGTCTTAACCACTGCGCCACCAGGGAAGTCCCAGATTAATATATTTTTAAAAATGTAACTTCTTTTCTAATCTGAAGGGCCAGTTTCTCAATTGAGGAGTGTTGCTGCATTTTTATATTTAATAGAGCAAATTTTTATTACTTGGATGAGAATAGTCCTTGATTATACACAATGTAATTAGTACTGATTTAAAGGAAATTACTCTTATTTAATGCTAAGGAAAAGGAAAGTGAATCAAAGAGGACCTGTGATTGAATGGAATCAAGAATAGCACAACATGTATATGTATCTGGGTGTATAAAATATCCAGATACCTACACATACACCTATAAGTATAAATAAGAAAGAAAAATATAGAACATAAGAGTATAAGATGAAGGCGTGAAATTTATTATATGATGGCAAAAACCTGAGTAGACTGTTTCAGTTTTGGAG